GAGTTGTATTTAAGGCATAAATTAGACTGATATCATTTGATGAAGTTGACACGTTAAAGCATATACTTTTTATGCGGGATCCTACCAGCTGCGTAGTAACTTGCACCGCTGCACTTCTGTGCGAAGTAATATTTTGAAACTCAGTCAATCAATGGATAGGCGCTGAGGTTGTTAATCTTTACTGAATAAGGGGGCTGGGATATGCGTCACTCAAAATAAGCCACAGCCTTTCTACACATATGGTCTCAGAATAAAGTAGGATTATACTGCAAAAAAGATAGTAGTAGTGGTCTTACTGAAATATGCTACCAATCCCGAAAGTCTGTAACCGTCAACCTAATCTATACAAGAATTCGTAGACTGTTTGAATGAAGTTCTGAAGATGATGAACACCAAAAGTTGAGAATCTTCAAACCGATATCAGTAGCACAGATCTAAATTTGGGACATTTCTTATTCATCACTGAGTCATTCTTCATCCCCATTTGTATTATCTTTTAACATGTTCTTCCAGAATATGCGATTTAGGTGGATGCACTTGTGTGCAACATTCTATGTTGATACCACCGTTGTGTAGACTAACAGAAAGATACTTAAGGAAGGGTGATATTTCAATGTTATTAAGTTCGAGATTTTTAAGAACATTAAAATTAAAGAAGGCGAAAAGCGAAGTATGTTTTCTTTCTTACTTAGAATTTCATCACTAGTTTATATGCTCAGGCTTTTTGGGGATTAAGACATATGCATCTATTGTTGTCAGTTTTCATCACGGTGGTTCTCTCCACGAGCAGATATAAGTTAAAGAACTATTTGAAAGCAACGAGCGCTAAACAGTTCTTTTTTTCCTGGTTGAGAGTTCTTCACCAGCATTTGCTCATGACTCCACTAGGGTTTGACATAGGACCTTCAGGTTACGAGTACAACACATTACTACTTAGTCATCAGTCACTGGGGTAGAGTGCAATGGTCCTTCAGGTGATTTAAGTTCTTGACGAAATCTAACTAGCCGTCAGCCATATCTCCCACGTACCCAACATTTGAATCTGTAGTTTTATTAATTCATTAACAGACGATACGTGGTTTGCTTGATTTTAAACTACTATTCAGCATTTTTGACCTTTACTTTTTCACTTTTGATTACGAGGCGATGCTGGTCATATTGCAAACCTGACTGGTAGAATTCAGTCTGCACCAAACAAAGGACTAGACACAACACATTAATTACTAGTGTCCAATCAAATTACCCACTACAGTCCTACAGAAGGTCAATCGCGAGCCCAGATAGCTGCTCAGTGGTAACGTCTCTCTTTGACTGCAGCACTGAGTGACACGGGTTCGAATCTCAGAAGGGATATGAGTTCCTTGTTGACGTCTGCCAACTAGCACGAAACCTAGGTTAAGCCGAGGTTCCTGTTGATTGCCTCCAACCATCTAGTAAGATGAAACATCCTTTCATTAATTGACCCATGATGGTGGATATGTGAGTCAGTGTTGATTCAAATATTTGTTACAAACACTAAAGGGTTAGTGAGGTGGAAGATAGTCAGGAAAGATTTCTATTTTACACTTACTCACTTCACCTGTAAAAAAAGATGAAATGCTGCGGAATTAGTTGATGAAGTCTCCTGCACCTTATGATTGAATCAGTGATAGGCAGACAGACTTAGAACTAAGACGATTTTATAGTGTTGTTTATGTTTAAATTTTCGCATAATAATTGTAAATTCTGTGCCAACTAACTAACTAACGAACTAACTGACCGCGTTTCAACGTAGCACTTTACACAGAAGTGCAGCTAGTCAAGTTGCCACACTTCGCACAAAGCTAGAGAAAAAGAGAAAAAAAATTCAAAAGAGCTGCAATCAGCAGAAAAGTACTAAGGTGATTAAATGAAAAAACATGCAGACTTAGAGGATTTAGAATAAAATGTTTAGTTTATCAGAGTGGGTTGGACAGAGATAAGGTAATACTTTTTACTTTCTCTCATGTAATTTTCTTTACCGATTAGAAACTAGTTCTTAAAAACTACTATTTGACAAAATAAAGTACACTGATGCAATGCTAAATATCATTTTTATAGTTTTGAATTCACAGTACACATCCCCGAATCTTTTAATTTATATGGAGGTTTTAAAATGAACAGATAAGCTTTCAAACTGTTAACTTATTCCGTTTCATTTGTGACAAAAATCAATTCTCCTTTATGTGATGTGATGTAATGTCCTACTGTTGATTAGGCTTATAAATGTCAGACATTTCAATACAGTTCATTCATTTAAAGACTATTGTGTTCAATAATGCGAATTTAATTTTGAATTTGAAAATGACTATCGTTGTGCATGTTTGTCTTTGAAGTTGAAGGTGAGGTTGATTTTGCCACCGTAAAAATTAATATAACACTCGCCAACCACACCGAAGGCCAGGGTTCGATTCCTGGTTGACGCCCTTCTAAGCCATCTAGTTTACTAGCCTGTAGTAGGCATGGAAATGGAGGAGGTTGGACGTCAGACTAGCAACCCCACCCCTTGAAAACGAAATCAGCGTTACTGGAACTTTAAAGCTCAATCGTGATGTCATATATTTCACTTATAACGCAAAATAATCTGCATATATATATATATATATATATATATATATAACTCAGAACAGCCTACGAGCTTATCTTTAGAGACCTGTAGTGAACATAATGTATTTCGTCAGTAGATCTGTAGAAAAAATAACGGTTCTGCAATTCCAAAGCAGTTTAAAATAACCAATTGACCTCATGGCTGCAAACAAATATATTTCTTTTTATACAGATCCCAGATAAACTTTGCCTTTTTGAAGGCTTCCTATGCCTAGTGTCATTATATTGTTAATTAAACCTGGAATTTTCTGAAGCAACTTGAATCCCAATTTATGTGTTCAGAAAGAAGCACTTATCAGTCTTTTCTTGCCCACCTGATAACTGGATGTCTTTATTGTCTCTTTCATTTGATTACATAATCTTTGGTTTTAACCTCACTCCTTTTGACATAGTGTAGTTCTGCTTGTCGCTTGTTTCTATACTTTGAGTTGAATTTAGTACATTGTTACCTAATATATAATATTTTCTCACCTCCCGTCTTTATTATGTAACTCCTTTACCATTTTTTGCATACATTTACTTTGTTTAAGTGTGAGCTCCCTGTGTAAAAACTATACAGGTGTAGTTTTCTCAGCACTGCTTATTAATTTGGGAACCCCCTGCTGTCAGCTGACATCTTGAAAAATTTGCAAGTACGTTAAAACATTTTCTGTACATATACTTAATAATAATAATTTTGTTTAGGCTGTAAGCATCTGATGGAAAACCAACGAAGTAAACAGTCGTGGTACTACAACCTTATGCTACACAAACCACTGTTGTTCTTGCTTTATTCAATGTCATAAAGACAGTTAAATGTATGATGAGGTAAACTGGTAATGTAGTACTTTTAAGATTGAGTTCTCCGTATTATTTTTGCGGGTAGAAATTCAGAACTACAGAGGTGTTTGTTTCTTCAAGGTGTTTCAGATTTAGGAGACATCATTAAGTTCAGTTAACCGAAGAAAACTAGAATTTCTCATCTCAAGTTAGCTAGTTGTGTTATTGTAATGCCTAAATTGTAGTGGTTTTATACTCTTTTCAGTATGATTCAAAATTCACTCCATCTCATCTTACAGATTCTTGATGTGTTCATTAATCCTCATTTTTTTTTTAGTTGTCTCCTCGTTCATTCTAATTTCATTAAACTTTTGTTTCTCTAGTTTTATGAGGATCGACGAGTTCTTACCAGGAAAATGTGGATAATAAAACAAATTAAAATAAATAACATCAACTCTAACTTTATCTTTAATCATAACTCTAACAACCTTAGTCATGTCCCTAATTACAATCCTTATTCTAACCGTAAACCTAACCCTAATGAGCTATTAACACATTCTCTAAACAGTATTAAAAACGTAATCTATGTGAAATTTGCTGCTAAGCTGGTGAATAGCGTTGATATTTCAGCTATGATAATGACATGTGACCTTAGCCAACGACTAGCATGCGTATAAGGTCATTGGAGTGTTCTCACTCTTGGGACGCTAATGTTGAACTTCGCCGGCGGTTCAACGGTAGAGTGTTGGTCAGCCATGCATGTTGTCCGGAGCTTGATCCCCGGCCGGTGCACACCTTCATCTCGCCGTAGCCGGTGAGGTTAGCAAACTCACCCCTTAAAAAAACATCACTGCTACTGAAACTCTAAAGCTCAAGCTTAATGTCCTATTTGCCACTCGGAACGCTAAGGAATAAAATAATATAAATAATAAATAATTCACATACTACTTTTCCTGTAAAAGTATTCCAGTTTTCAAAATTTTTTGCTACATTTACCTCAAGTATCGTCCTTTTATGGTTTACGCTTGTGTCAGTTTTATTTATTAACATTATTTATTATATTCCTGTGTGTTCTGAGTGGGACACACGGCTTCAGCTTTAGACTTTTCAGTTTCAGTAGCAGCCGTGCCATTCTTATTACGGGTCAGCGTTGCTAGTCTCACTCCCAACCTTACCTCTTTTTCAGTCTAAATACCGGCTAAGCAAGGTCCAGAAGTGCATTACCCAGGGATCGGACCTCAGACCACGTGAAGCGTGATTGGCGAGCTTTCTACCTCTGAAACACAGACCTAGTACGTATGTGTATGTGTTGGCTTAGCCACTGCTAACCACTCCTGTATATATATTGTCTTATCTTGAACCTAATCCCATTTTTCCCGATAATTTAACACAAAGTTTACCAACATCCTTATTCCCATCATTTTTCTAAAATCTCAACGTCTTTTTCTATACTTGATAGCACAAGTTGCAATATGTAGATTTATTGCTCAGTTTTATTAAATCCTTTTCATCGGTAGTCAAAAAAGCTTCTGACTTGGTTTCTATATACTTCTGTAAACGATAAATGTTTATTCATTTCCTCTTGTGTTTTATTTTTATTTGATATACTTATCTAGGATGCGCCTGATTCAAAGATGGAATCACTGAGTATTCCAGAAGATAATAAATCAAGTGCTCTTTCGCATTTTCCTCCACTTATACTCCCAGTGAAGCTACATCGTCATCTATTACAAACGAAAACAAAACGTGATTCACAAATTAAAAATATGTGGTTCTATCTAGGTCCATCAACAACTTTTAACAATCTACCAGACACTCCTGTTGCTCGTGTCTGTGAAGATCTAACTAAGGATTTAATTCAAGAAGCCATTGATGAGCTATATCAAACAATTGATCACACTGCATCGGAATTAGTAGATGAATTAATCAAAGCTGAACTTCTACCAGAAGCCCCGGATACGAGTATCTCATTTGACAATAGATGTGAAGATGATCCACAATGTTTATCTACACCTGCACTATTTCGTCAGCCAGATTTAATAGTACATGAATTCGACGCTCCATTATTATCTAAGAATTGTGCTGAAGAAAATCAGAATACTTCAAATACTACATCGATTATACTAGAGCATGATTCTAATTTATCCGGTGAACAGTCAATTGATGATGAGTTGTCAACCTGTCAGAATATTAGAAATGCTAGTGAAGTAGACGAGGAAGAAGAAGAGGTCAGCGAAAAGTACACCTCAGAATTTGAGCAAGATACTATCTCGTAAATGTCTTTCTTTTATTGTTAATTCACGACGTTATGCACAATTCCTTCCTTAATGTTAACAGTTTTGTATTAATAAAAATTTATGTTATCTACTTTAACTACTTGTAAGTAGGCGTTTTTGTTTTGTGTAAGTTTCTCATATACATGCATTCCTTTCAACCCATTGTTTTGGCGAGTTAAGTTGCGTATTGTTAATGTACCTTATCAAATAAATCTAGGTGTAATCGCATATGACCTAGTTTACGTAATGAAATCATTCTCCAATAAAATGTAATGATAGATCAACCACTATATAGCCTATTCTGCATGAGATTGAAATTCCCATCATGGTTTTGCTTAATCAACCAATACATCGAAAGACAAGAGTAGCAGTAATAACTGGGTTGGTCTGATGATGAACTGCCTACCTGGATGATATTTCGCTTAAGTCAGTCTTTGTTTTTCCCGTGTATTGATTGAGCCGGAATTTTCGACTTCCGTTGACATGTTGGCTTCAGGTGTGGATGCTTCGACGATGTTTGAGGATTAACATTGATATTGTTTGGCGGATTGATGTGAATTTCCTCCCGTTTGGCAACGCTCATCTGGATATTCGTACGACTTCTGGTGACTATTTGTGTTTAGATTTCACTAGGGATTTTTATTATGTACTCGTCGCCAAATTATTATGTTGTACTGGTCGGGAATTTAATAGTCCTGACGCAAGAAAGATGGAAATCAGAAGACCACTAGGTTTGCGATGATACTTCTATTTTCCAAACACAAGGAGAATCAAAAATATCACACAATAGTGTGAGAGCAAAATATATATGGATGTCCAAACAAGTGTGTGAACAAATCAATAGACAGTCTTAACATGATTGGCTAATTATAATGGAGTATCGATCCATATATACATAGCGAAACATAACAGACTGTCAAACAAACACACATATTATATGGATATATATATCACCAAGGACAGACTGTCAACAAACACACATATTATATATAATATAAGAGGAATATACATTGTTAAAGGAGACAGGTTCATCAAAGTGAAATGGTCACAGACTAAGAGAGCAACAGAAAGAGAGACCACCATACACATATATATATATATATGGATACATATCAGTTTTATTGACTGATTACTAAGAAGTGACTGGTGTCATGTGCTGACTGAACTCCGTCAGTCACGTTTACAGTGTACCTATCAAGATATGTCACTAGCCTTTGCAGTGCACCTTCAGTGGGTGTTAGTTAGTTGGAGGTAATCTGTAGTAATCTTTGAACCTAGACTTCGTGCGTGTTGTCACTCATCAGCAAAGCCTATTTGCAATTCTGAAGGAACTTGCGTCCCCTCTGAGAATCATTTTTCAACTGTAAGTGTTGAATTTTGTATAGTTGGATTTGTAATTAGGATATCCCACAGTCAGTACCATAAGCCATAGAGAAAGTTGGATTATTCATCTTCCTCAGTCAACTTTCTGCTATTCCTGCATCGTAGAGTATGGAGTACTGTACTCTGGAATACTGGTCATCCACCTTACTCCTTATTAGTCAGTAGTAAGAATTTACTATTAGACACCCACAAAATATAAGCTTCTTATGGTGGAATTTGATTTTGGTTTTGTCACTGTCTAATAGACCTAACGATGTTTAACCTCAGCGAACAATACTTTCTTCTAGCAATGCTTCTTCGGTCATCCTAAAGATGAACTCTTACTGTGATAAGAGCTGGCTACTAGCCTAATTGGTCGATAGTAATTTACGTCAATGTTTACATCCCCAATATTGGTCGTGAGAAAAATAAAAACAAAGAGTGATTAAACAACCATCCACAGCAGACGTTGCGTGGGCGGATACATTTAGCATATAGATGATCTGACATTCAAAAAACGGTCACAAAGAGATGAAAGATTAACTTTCAGTGAGAGACAACCAATCAGATGACTGTGGTTTTCTGCTAACAATAATTTATAATAATGTAGATGAAAATCTGTAAATATGTGCTGAAATCCTTAATAAACGATCTATTGCCTGGCCCTTGCCTTCTGTTTTTACAATACTACCACAAAAAGTTGGCAGATGTCAGTCAGGAAAGAGCTTTCTATATCAGAATACATTTACAGAATATGATGGGTTAAACAACAAAATTAGGAAACAGATTATCATTACTGTTATTATTCCCTTGGGATCCAAGTGTTACATAAGTCTTCAGCAACACATGTCTAATTCACCCTGTTGTATGCTGTCCTTTTTAGCTGGTTTCACTTTTGCCCATATGCTTCTATATCCTCCTTACACTACCTCCTCTATGTCACGCTCTACTTGTCGTTTCCCATTCGCGTTCCACTCGAGAACCTGGAGCGTGATATCAAGCAACGGTCTCCTCAGTGTTTATTCAATTCATCTCCAGTTTCTTCTGCATATTTTCAGAGCGATCGGTTATTGGTGAGTTCATTCTTTCGTGCCATTTGATTTTCTTTTGAAGGCAGCTGTTAATGAAACTCTTCAATCTGTTGAAAATGCTTTTGGTCACGCTGGTGCCAAGTTTCTGGACCATGTAGGAGCAGTGACTAACTTGACATTAGTGTTTAAATTTCGATTCTTGTTGCTTATGATGAGTAAAGCAGGTTTTCACACCGACTTCCAATCTTTTCTCATCTGTAGATGGCACGATGCTGCTTAGATAGATAGGCGACAAAAGTGATTTCCGGCAGAATTCTTCCATTAGAAGTGATTGGTGCTTGTTGTTTTTGTTGGTTACGCGCCTTTCTCATCTCTGTTTTCTTTTTGTTCACTTGAAGTCCTGCCTTAAGTGGTTTTCCTGCCAACTTGTTAGTTTTCGCCTGCAGGTCTTTGGTGCGGCGGGGGTGTTACATTAAAAATAAATCATCCGCGAAGTTCAGATCTCCCCTAGTGTCTTCTTATTGGTCCCACGTATTCATTTTCCATCGTTTCTCATGGTCTGTCAAATGATGCAGTTCACCAAAATCATGATATCATCGGTGATATTAGACAATATTGTCCTCATCCTGTCTTCACTTCAGAAGCTTCGCTGAGGAAACAGATAATCCAGCATATAAGTGTTTCTTTTAGTAATATTATGAAGAAATTTAATGCATGTGGTGAGAGGAGTCTGCAAGCCGAAATTGGTAGACAACAATTTACGTTAATGTTTACTTCCCGAATGTGGGTCATGAAAAAAAACATTAACAAAGCCTAATCTTGAGGAATTCAACAACCAATCACAGCATACTTAGCATGTGCATATACGATTGGCAGATATATGGCTTATTTTTTGAGAAACAGTCACAAGAAGCACAGGATAACCTTCAGGAAGAAAACAATCAATCAGAAGAGCTTGTTTCTCCGCTGACAATAATGTACTTAAAAATGTATAAAATTTTTCTTGATTTTCTCAATAAACGATCTGTTGCCTAGCCCCTTTCTTCTGTTGTAACACCACTACCTGGAGATTCTTCGACAGTAGCTCGCACACATGGGATTTTTTTTTTGCAGAGGTGTAATTTACAAATGAAGTCGTTCAATAGTAATGCTTCTTTCTGTAAGCACAGTAGTTAAGTTTAAGTTTCCAAGATGTATTAGATATTATGTCATTAGCACAGGTTACCAAATACTCAGACTGTGGGAAGTCACAAGTAGACTCTAACATTTAGTAAATCAATACTTTTAAAAATAATTGAATGAAAGCAATCATGAATATGTTTTTGTTGTGTTTACTTTTGGTCACATTTACCTAAGCTTTATGTAAGAATATTTAGCATTATGGTTGGGCCTTGTCAGATGTAAGATGATGCTGTAGCAGTTGTTGTTTAGATCGATTTCTGCTCTCATGCTAGAGACAAAAAAGGTTGATTGTATTTACCACTTAAATTATTTGATGAGTTACATCTTTTTTTGTATATCGGAATGATCAATCATTAACTTACACTAGTCCGACGGGACATCCTCTGATTCTCAAACGCTGCTCCCTGATGCTTTAGTTAACACAGACAATAAATTGTTTCCATCGTCCTTAAATACCTCTGGAGTCATTCCAGCAGATCCCACTGCTTTGACTCGCTCTTCAGTTTAAAGAGAGCTTTTGTAATCTCACTTAGTCACAGAGGGGGGTGTGTGTTTATATCCCTTTCAGGGAGATGTTGGTTGCTCAGTAGGTTGAGCGTAACTGTAGTCCAATTAAATTGCTCTTTAAAGTGCTCTTTCATACGTTCCAGTCGTTTATCCTGGGAGCTAATTATGGTGCTAATCTTAATTCATCGGTTGATTGTTGACGAGATCTCAGCATGGATACAGAAACTTGTCTGATATTTGGCAAGTTAAATCAGTTTCTAGGCCAGGCTGGCATAATGTCCGACTACTCATCAAATGGCTTGTATACTATGCAACAATTCGCTTAGTTGCACTTCACAACTTTAAGACATGGTCGTTAGTGTTGGGAGATATGAAAAGATTTATGCTTGCATCCAAACATATCTTTCAATCTGTTGGGCTGAGTTGAATGATAAGTAATAATTAGCTTAAATGTAGAGTGAATCCCCATCGATGAAGGCGGCTACCATATAATTCATGCAGATTGTGCCATCGATTTTCTCGTCGGTGTACACTAAGTGATATAAGATTAATAATAATAATAATTTTTCTTTAATAATAACAGCTTTACTTTAAACAGTATTTGTAGTACAGGTATGGAATTTTCAGCGTGCATTACAATATATTGCATCTAATTACCTCATAAATTTTATAAGATTTTAAAATCAAATCAAAAAGCAACACCCAAGAAAAGATAAATAGAAAAAAAATAAAAACAACAGCGTAGAGTCTACATTTTTTAAGCAATGCACCACAGGATATGAAATATAAAGTTGATGTGTGATAGAAGATGAGAACAACAGTGTAATAGTAACGAGGAAGGGAAAACAAAAACTAATGAGACTATTTGTTAGAGTGCCGCAGTAAGTTTATCGTGTCATACCTAACGGAATTCTCATCATATAACAGCTGTGCCAGATATGGTATTGTGGAGTTTTTGTACTTTGTAGTTCTAGCATATAGCCGCTTATAGCTGCTTCTAGTTCTACTAGATGAAATGCAAGGAGACAGCTGCATATAGAGAGGATGCTCAGGGTCCGACAATAATGTATTAGCTAGTTTCTTACATGACATAATATGTCTATCCACAATAGTGTTAA